GCTGACAAATAAAATTAAACGTAAAATTTACTATGTTATTTAGATATTAATTAAATGTTAATTCATTTAAAATAATGTTTCTAACAATATTAAAAATATTAAGAAACAATATTTAGAAACAGGGGGGATCGTTTATATAAACTAAATCAACTAACAATAAGTTGAGCGAAAAGCGCCTATTACAGTCGTAGTTATCTCAGAAATATGCGCGCCATTATTTTCGAATTTGCAATACAATCAACTGCATTAATACTAATCTCTTTAAATTAAATTAAATCGTTGATTTGATGTCACTAGTATCTTAAAATCTGTAAAAAATTTATTGCAAGAAATCTTATCTCAACCAGAATTCGAACTCGGCATGCTTCGATGATGAATTAAAAGAATACTCGCACAATATATGAGAGATCCAGATTCGAATATTAGCTAAGATAATATTTTTTGCAATAAGTTCTTTATAAGTTTTAAGATGCTAATAGCATCAAATTAACGATTTAATTTAAAATTTGAGGGAATATTATTATTTCAGTTTAATTATATTGCAAGTCTGTGTGCGAAAGTATAATCGGCACTATTTCTGAGATAAAATTTATTTAAATATACAGGATATTTTTGATATTACTCTCCGAGTGACATTTTGTTTACATTAATATCAAAAGAATTAAAACGAAGATTCGGTCTTAAAGAGCTATTACCTATTCCAAGTTTAAAAGGGATAAGAATTATTTTGCAAGTCGTTAAAAAAACTGACGTTTTTCACAGTTCAGTTCTTTAATATTAAATTACAAGTCTGCAAAAAAGTATAAGCTCTGTAGCCATGTGAAAAGAGCTTAGTGACCGAAATAATAGATCCAATCCTTTTGGTTTAATATTGTCAACTCGAAGCTTGTTCCGACGAGGATAGTTTAGCAACGTCATTTCTCTCCGATATGCTGTTTTGTTCTATCATGCAAGTTAAAGCGCAAACGTGTAACTCGTTTCACGCAAAACCCGCTTTATGCCTGTTCTACAATAGGATCGCAAGTCGTAAGCCGTAAGAAATTGGCCAATCATATATAATTGAATATGACAAAAATAATCAACTATGATTGTTTAATTTCTTACGGCTTACAGTTTGCGAGCTTATTGTAGAATAGGCTTCAGGCTGATATTACATTTGTCATACGACAAATTTTTCAAGCGTATTAATTGGCTGCAAAACTGAGAAATCTGAGAACCTCTTTGTCCTGCAGCTAATCAACAGGCTTGAAAAGCTTGTCGTACGACAAAAAACGGATGAATATGTAATATTAATCTTAAGGATCTCTCTCTCTCTCTCTCTCTTTAAAGGAATAAGGAAGGAATTTTGTAACATATTGAATCACAAACGCACCAGCGATCGAAAGATTAAGAATCTAATTTCGTGGACGCGGAATTTATGTCATTTTCTTTTAATTCAGCCATTTTTTTCGACGCCCTTAAGCATAAATCGCTTTAACCAAACTCGCTTAGCCAAGTTTCAATTTTAAAATGTTCAAAGTTTGAATTTTTCCTGAATATTTATGAAATATCCCTCTTTCAGAAAATGTGATGTATCCTGGTTTTTTCTTTTTCAGCAAGCGGAAGTATAACATTAGGACCGTGCGTTATGTTGGTGATTATGGGATTATTGATGCTGCGGTAAGGATTGAAGATACCATTCGCCCTTCGTGCTCATCCCCTAGGCCTGTGGAAGCCATCCTCGTAACGCGATATAATTACAAAATTATCCATGTTGTTTATATTTTTTTATAATTGCAATTAGTGAAATTAGAGATCATGTAATAATTGTAGACAGACGACACTATCTCTCGAATTATGTTAGACTTTCGACTCGAATCTTTAGGGAGAGTTTTCGTTGTAGAGAGACGATAGATACTTTTTTTTCCAGGAATGATCCAGGAAAAAAATTATCGAGAAAATTTTCGACGACTCGGTTGTTCAATTTTCGCGTTACACCAATTATGTCTCGCGTACAGTGCGTGAAAAACACGACGGACCCGTTATTCCGTTGTATTCATCGAAGAAATTATACATATATCTGCACTGCCATGTATTGATCTATCGTTTATCATGAAAATTCGGAGTTGCGACTTTTTACATTGCTTGCAGCGACTCATGCGTAAAGTACATAAATCAATTTTTCTTCAGGTACACACGCGCGTGCACTTCGTTTGAATACATATACATATCTATGTGTGGGGCTAACGCATATCTACCATGCAAACTATGGCGCGGGTCCGCGTTTTATTGAATTTTCATTAACTGTGCCACGTCTGGAACGATAAAATGCAAGTGCAACTGAGTTTCAAGACAATATAATATAACTATACACGAAAAAATTCTTCACAAATTTTCAAATTGAATATCTGCATACAACTTATGATATTAAA